ACAGCTCAATTCGTAGCCACTATGCTACCTGAGCTCCTTATAGTATACATATAACTTACAAAATAGTGTTGATCAACTGTTTATGTTATTGGTAAAGCTTCTTGTCAACAATAGGCAATGTTAGCAGTTAAGTTTTGAGGGAATTGAAAGTTATATGCAGATTTCCTGCTATGTAGGGGGAGGAGGGACCAATTCCCATAATCCCTGCACCCAGTTCAAGGGTCATCTGTATAGGGGTAGTTAACATTTTTCAGAGGTGATCCCCTAATGCAAGTGATCCCCTAATCCAAGAGTTACACATTTAGTGATTTGCCATGGATGACTTCAGGGGTATCTGTTATCCTCTAAGGCTGAATGCAAAATGTATGCGTTTTTCTGGAGTGAGGGTCCATAGCAATCAGCAGACTTCAAAGCAGTTTAGATCTCTAAACATATTGTTGTTGTTAAGTGCCATGGAATTGGCTCCTATTTATAGCAATCTGTGTTGGATTTCCAAGGCTGTAAATCCTATGCAGGAGCAGGAAACCTCATTCTCCAGTAGAGCAGCTGATGGACTTGAACTGCTGACCTTGTGGTTTAATCCAGTGCTTGCTTATCCTACAGATCTACCATGCTCTCAAATAAATAGATAGGTGAATTAATTACATAGATGCTCTGACTGTGAGGATTGAAGTTACTTCAATAGGCGTGCAGTATATTTTATGGTGTGGTGCTGTAAGATAAGCACGGGACTGCTAACCATAGATTGACAGGTCAAACCCACTAGCCACTCCACAGAAACCCTGTACAGTGTCACTATGCATTAGACCCAACTCAGTGCCACTCAACAGTAACAACAACAAGAAAACAGTGGGAACGCAGTGGCTCTGTAGGATAAGCACTGGATGGCAAACCACAAGGTTGGTGGTTTGAGCCCACCAGACACCCCACAGGAGAAAGATGAGACTTTTTGTTCTTGAAATGATTTACAATCTCTGAAACCCTATACAGAAGGCGTGGGGAACCTTTTTACTGCCAAAATTTAAAACATCATTCTTGGGCCATACAAAATTAATTAGCTAAAAATTGTTGTTAGGTGCCATCGAATCGGTACTGACTCATAGCGCCCCTACACACAACAGAACGAAACACTGCCTGGTCCTGGGCCAACCTTACAATTGTTGCCATGCTTGAGTCCATTGATGCTGCCACTTGGCCAGTCTATCTCATTGGGGGTCTTCCTCTTTTTCTCTGACGCTCCACCTTACCCAACATGATATCCTTCTCCAGCGATTTCTCCTGACAATATGTCCGAAGTATGAGAGATGAAGTCTGGCCATCCTGGCCTCCAAGGAGCACTCTGGCTGCACTTCCAACACAGATCTGTTGGTTCTTTTGGCAGCCCATGGCACTTTCAGTATTCTCCTCCAACACCATAACTCAGACTGCAAAGCCATTTGAACTGCAAGTCAGCAGTTTAAGCTCACCAAGCTGCTCCTTGGAAACCCTATACAGGGTCGCTATGGGTCGGAACCAACTTGACAGCACGTAGCAACAACAACCATAACTCAAATGCAACAGTTCTTCTACAATATTCCTTATTCACTGTCCAACTTTCACATGCATATAAGGTTATTGAAAATACCCTGGCTTGGGTCAAGCGCATCTTAGTCCTCAAGCTGACATCTTTGCTCTTCAACACTTTAAAAAGGTCTTGTGCAGCAGATTTACCTAATGCAATACGTCGTTTGATTTCTTGACTGCTGCTTCCATTGAGTGTTGATGATTGATCGGAGAAAAATGAAGTCTTTGACAACTTCAGTCTTTTCTCCATTGATAAGAATGTTGTTTATT